CCCCCCACACCTCCCCCCCCACCCCCCCCCACGCCAAGTGAAATCACAAAACCCGGATGGTCCTCAAGGGGCGAAGAGGAGGCCCGGAGGCTGCAGCATTGATTCCTTTGCATAAATTCCCCTGATCAACACACAGGAGCGACCGGCGGGCCTGGGTTCGTTGATGGTAGCACACGGCGCCGGACCCTGGTCCCTCCGGTGGCCGGGAGACAGAGCGTGGCACAAGGGACGGGACATGGGGGAGGGGAGGCGCGCAGCCAGGAGAAGGGGCAACTCTCCTTAACTGGCAGTTCAGCACATCAGTACATTTCACCTCTACCAGACGGAACACTTGGGTTTCATCTCTTCTCCGAGGAGCTTGATGGCATAAATCAGAAGCAAGCAGAGTTTGTCAGGTTTGAAGCCCCTATGATGGTATGTGTCAAATCAGTTGTAGCTAATCTGTCCAGGGAGAATACTGGCTTCATTACGCTCATATAGTTGAGTTCTTCCAGCATTACCGCTGTTTAATAGAACATGATTAGTCATCACCAAGAAGAAAGCATATTAGCCAAGGAGATAGTTACACAGCACGCTCTGATGATTGCCACGATGTGATTGCAATACTCTTAGAAGCATCATATTATCCCAGACGTGTTCTTTCAAGCCCTTGGAGCCCTCCTTTCTAAATTCACTGTCATAATTTAGTATCTGTTTAATTTTTCAGTCCAAAGAGAGGAAATCAGTTGCCGTGTATTATTTGACTGCAGTCTCCTTGGCACAAAAACAAAGTGGAAAAAATAAATAAGAGTGACTTGGAAGTTCAAAAGGAAATCACGAATTCAGCTAACGACGGCATTTTGAGCACCTTTAGTGAACTAAGTAAATGCGTAAAAGGCTGTTTTTGCCCAAACCTGAGAGGTAGTCTGTGTCCTTTTGCCGAGGTGGGTGTCTTGGGTCTCAGTCACTCTGGGGCCACGTTGCCCAAGTCACACAGGCTTCTGTATTCTGTCTTTAGATGAGATGTGTTGAAAATCTATTTGAATAAAAGAAGTTCATAAATATGCATTGATTTCTATACAGACAAACGGCACCTCTGTTAATTTATATATTGAACTGGATGTGAACTAACAATATGCAACTAGTTGAGATAAGAGAGTTACAGATCATTGTACACGGGAAATATTCCCAGCAGTAAACACTTCCATTAATGTGATATACAGCTTCTAAAAAGGAGCACATCAGAATAAGATGGTGGTACAATTTGCTTATTAAAATCAAGAAAGGGGGGGAATAAAAGCATATTAGAGGGGGAAAGAGGCATGTGATTCCTTGTTACTGGAAAGCACGATTTAGATCTGACCCTATTTTTGCCCACCCAGAGGAACAGGCTGTGGCAACGCGGGGGCGGGTGACTTTCCAAATCCCAGACCCGGGCGCTTTGCAGAGGTCCATCCTGACCACCGCTGCCAATTTGGGAGCACAGACTGACTCATGAAACGCCCTGAGACTTTTTTTTTTTTTTTTTTTTTTTTTTTTTAAATCCCAGACCCGGGCGCTTTGCAGAGGTCCATCCTGACCACCGCTGCCAATTTGGGAGCACAGACTGACTCATGAAACGCCCTGATTTTTTTTTTTTTTTTTTTTTTTTTTGCCTGGTGGCCAGGCCCATCATTTTAGTCCATCACCCGATTTGCCGTCGTCATGGTTTCTGGCAGCTTCAGACTTCGGCCACCTTCAACGTGGTGGCCAAACATAGTAAACCAGATCGTGACACCTTAGGTGAAAAAGAAAAGGGGGCAACTGAGCCTCGAGCCCTTTGGCAGCATGACGGGGGAGAGGGCGTCACCTTGAAGGACGGCATGGGACTGGTGTAGCACAGAAACATAGGGCCACGTCCATCCTGCCGCCTCCGGGGAAGTTCCTTGCTCTCATATATTAAACCTTCTATTTTGTAAGAGTTTTTCCTCTTCTTTCACTTTAAAAAAAAAAAAAAATTAAAGTAGGTGGGGAAAAAATAAAGCTTTACACAGTTTCTACCTGGGTCGGTGTTTCATGGGCATTTCTAACCTTGATGCAGCTCAGTGGAACTCGGCGGTTTCCCAGGATAACAGGTGCGGAAGCCTCCAGCCCGGAAGCCTTGACAACAGGTCCATAATCCCTCCACCCGATTTTTAATTCTGTTTCATCGCTGTGTGGTTATTTTAAATGTGAACAGAGGAGAAAAGAAAGTCCTTCCTGTTTTTGAAGAATGCATTACTGTTCTAATCCAGCCACGCGCATTGGCCTCCCCGTTAGCATAGACGTTATGTAGTGAGCACAGATAGAGTATAAACGAAATTCTTAAATTATTTCATTGTAGTTAATTCCCACTGTAGGAATGCTTTATCACAGTGAAGCCTTCTTTTGAAAAGAAACGGAACTCCTTGTAAGGCTTCTCTTTGGGATGTATATGGGTGTGTACAGATTATTATATGTGTTTATAATATAACGTTTTCCCAGATGACTTCTTTTTTCACTTAGCCTTTCACGACCTGAATGCTAGACTGGTTTCTTCCCTTCCCTCCCTCCAGCGCTGGGACTTCATTGATTCCTCCTTAGAAAACTCGACCCCTCTCCTGCTATTTTTAGCGATATTGATCTGCTGCAGGGGGCAGCCTGCTTTCTCGAGCCCGAGTTTTGGCAACAGAGAAAAGGCGGTAGTGGGTTTCAAGGGTTTTCTTTTAAAATAAAGGTGACCGGCGGCTCGTCTGTTTGTGTGTCAGTGTCAAGCTAGAAGTCCTTTCTTTGCTGACAACGCTCTCATTCCCATCTTAAAGCCTTACTAACACCAAGGCCAGAGAAGCAAGGACCCAGGGCCAGTGTTAGAAATAACCAGTTGAGGAAGGGGGTCCGGTTTTCACAGTTTATTTCCATGTAAGTTCAGGGACATGGCAATGACACAGGAAGCCACCACTGCAGAATCCACGTAACTTTTTCTATTCAGAATTCAAATTTTTCCTTGATGAGAAACCCACTGGCTGGGGAAGGCATGTGATAAGGCGGCCACTCGTGAGGGCACCTGCACAGGTGAGCTGGGTGTATTGCAGACCTCTCTGGATTTCTCTTGTGGCCAAGAGAACCCTGCAGAGAAAGGAGCCTTGATTCTGACGGTGCATGGGTGGACCTCGAGTACTGGGGTGGACAGACAGATGGTTTACCAAGCCAGGGTCCCAGGTTCCTTCCGTCTCCGGTCTTCCCAGTAGATGAGCAGTCGAGGATGAGTGAGTGACGTTACTGCCATGAGTCTTTGGTCCCATAAGCAGGTACAGTTTCCTGTCCCCTAGGAAGCCCACCCTATGTGGAATCATCCCAGAAAGCAGGTGAGGGCAGCGGGTGCTTGCTGAACACTGGGCTGTCGGGTGCAGGAGAGAGCAGCTCTTCCTGAATTACTCTGGCCTGGAATCCTTAAATCAGCACCTTTCCTGCAGGGCCACGAGGCCAGGCTATGGCCCTTGTAGCACCGGTGCAGGGCCGTGCACTTCTGCCCCCTCCTCTGAGGTTTTGTGCCGCCTGATGCGATCTGCTTGGACCCAGCCTCAGCCTCCAGCATCAGCTCCGGGCTTCCCAGTTTGGTGCCACCTGAACGCATTCAGGCTCATTCCCCACATTTGCAAAGGAGCTGTCACTACTCCATTAGGGAACAATAGTCCAACAAGAAAGGCAGCCCTGGGGCCGAGCAGACCTGGGTTCACCTGGCCTTGCCGTCCCATCCAGCTGCCCAGCGTCCTTCCTCAGCTGTGAAACCCTGTGGCCTTGCAGGGTGCGGTGACGTTTGGACCAGTGTGGTAAATGCCGGCCCGATGCCCAGCCAGGGGTGCGATGCTCAGGAGAGCAGAACGTGGATAGGACGGGGCCAAAAGCACCAGCCAGGAAACCTGCCCCGAGCCAGTGCCCTGGAGGGGCGGTGGCGGCCAGCTTGCCAGCCCCTCCCGTCGAGGCTCTGACCCTCCTCTGTCTCTGCTGAGCCTGTCGTCGTCGTCGTCGTCGTCGTCGTCGTCGTCGTCGTCAGTGGGAGCGAGGCTCTCCGAGGACCCCTGCTCTCGGGCAGCCCCTCCCCCAGGGATGCGCCCGCACTACCCCCTCCCCGTCACTCACTGCCATGCGCCCTCCAGCCTGAGTCTGAGTTTGATTTTCTAGAGGACGGGAGGGTGAGTGTCCCCCTCAGGCCCTTCACCCCCGCTGCTTCTGGCCAAGACCACCCTTCTCTCTTCCGCACCCTCTGCTGTGTTGTCGATCCCAAGGCCTCTGTCCTTCAGACGCCTCCTCCGGCACTGAGAGGCCGCTGGGCACACTCATGTTTGGGGCCCGTTCAGTGTCCTTATCCTGCTTCCTCTTTAAAACCAGAGCTTCTTGCAGGCACCCTGGGCTGGCAGGGTGTGGCTTGAGGCTCCAGGGCCGCCTTCTCTCTCTCCCTCTGTCCATCATTGAGCTGCTGTGGCTGGTCGGTGACCTTGTCCTGGGCCTGCCCTTGGTGGTACCATCTTCCCCCTTGGGAGTGGCCATTGGCTCCTGCCCAACCCCCGGCCTGAGCTGTGCACACGGGTGACGTGGGCCCCAGTGGCTCCAA